TTGTTCGGAACACACTGTAACTGTAATCGAACGAAGGTAAAATTTTGGCATAATTGGTAACACTTATTTGACAGTTGCGGTATTGACACTTTTTGTACTTCATTATTTTGAATTTTAAAGTGAATATCTCTTGTTTTATATTTTTAACTATCTAATAAAATCTGTTCTTTTTAGAACAAAATTAGTGTGTTTTATTTCAAAAATGTCACGTAAGAATTTAAATAGTCGTTGTAAAGAGATGGTAATACTTTTGCAATAATTATGTAATATATTTGATTTAAAATGGAGCCAGGATTTTTTTATACTTTGGCAACTATGTCAACTTCGATCTCTGACGTAAGTCGTTATCTAAATTAGATGAAGTATACTATCAAAATCATGATACTCAGACTTCCAAGATAAACCCACTTCGCAATCGAATTTTGTACGCCGACGCGCATGACGTCACTTGGTGATAAAAGATCCACTTTTATCATCACAGTCGGTAAAACATATATATGGAAATAGAAGGGTTTTTATTTAAATATTTAAAATATTTAGGGATGATAGGTAAAATATCTGCAATTAAAACTTAAAAATATGTTATATATATAATACTTCATCTAATTTAGATAACGACTTACGTCATTATATACGTCAGAGATCGAAGTTGACATAGTTGCCAAAGTATAAAAAAAATCCTGACTACCATTTTAAATCAAATAGGTCACATAATTATTGCAAAAGTATTACCATCTCTTTACAACGACTATTTAAATTCTTACGTGACATTTTTGAAATAAAACACACTAATTTTGTTTCTAAAAAGAAAAGATTTTATTCAATAGGTAAAAATATAAAACAGGAGGTATTCACTTTAAAATTCAAAATAATAAAGTACAAAAAGTGTCAACACCGCAACTGTCAAATAAGTGTTACCAATTTATGCCAAAATTTTACCTTCGTTCGATTACTGTTACAGTGTGTTCCGAACAAATGTTCTTGATAAAAACTCTTTATAATGGATTTATACAAATTAATTGAAACATATTATTGTGTATTTATTTAAGTTAACATTAATAGAAATTTTTAAATATTATTTCTACGCGTATATAATAAAATATGTCTAGTGGCTGTAATGCCAGTGTACTCGGTAAAGTGATTCTAAAAAGAACACACCTAAACCCTAAATATTTCGTCACAGAATAATAAACAAACAGAATACCCACTCTCCACGGAAAATTAAGTACGCGCATCTCCTCCGTACAGACGTTCCGCCATGTTTTAGGAGGATTTTAAAGAAATTAGTGTTGTTTATGTGGTGTGTATGGAAAAATTAACCAGGTTTATTTGACTTACGGCAATCATAGACATACTATACAAATTAATATTAACATTGTTAAATATAATAACATAAATATAATATAATTAAACATAAATATAAACAATTACATAACCACACAAATCATATGTCTGTGTCCTCCTAAACATGGCGCTCGTGCTGAAAAACTTCAAAGGCGGCATCTGAGAGTGGCCCTTCTGATTGCTTATTATTCTGTGATTTCGTGTTGGTATCATATGACGTCACAGGCTATGACGCATCGAGCAATAAGACAAAAGAGGGAATCTAATCCTTATGAAAAACAGACCAAAAAAGTGGCCTCTGATGGCGGACATATCCGGAAATGCAAAGGCGCTAAATTTAAATTTTCCGACACTTATCAAAAGTAGCTATATAATATTTCGCAGAATGTGTCTTAGACGAGAAAGTTTTAATTAATTATTAATGATAAGAGTCTAAAATGCGACACAATTGTTAAAAAACTTTAATATAAATAAGATTTCATGTGACATTTGGGACAAACAATAACATAACCCAACCAAATTTGATGTCAAACAAGGAGAGAGACTCTCTTTCCTTGTTTAATGTGGCCTCTAAACATCGCACTTCCTGTCTAACAATATGTTTGCCCCCACCACCTTTACATTCCCTCTATTGTCTTTTTGCTCGATGCTATGACGCCGATGACGTGCATCGTTATTTATAAATTAGATGAAGTGTACATTTCTGTTAGCCTAGCAATGTAAATTAATAGAATTTAAATAGATAATAAAATTATTTAAAAAAGTAGGAACTAAACATCCTTTTGGAAATGGAAATTTATATACAATGGATTGATTTATTAAAATAAAAATTTAATACAACTGATAAATTTGTTAGATTTAAACAATATAGATTTAGTTACAAGATATGTATAATTTTATGTAGGTACTGCAATTCATTACAACAAACTGTTACCGAAATTAATAAATTGTTGTCATTATTTCTTTCATTACCACCAACTTCTGCCTCAAATGAACGAGATTTCTCGTGTCTCAAAAGAATCAAAACGTATTGTGGAAACAACATAAAATAAGAGAGAATGTCAAGCTTGTCTCAAATGTCAATAGAAAAAAAAAGCTTTTAAAATCACTTACTGCTCTAATAAATGTTAGGATGACCTTATATAACCCATTTTGCTACTTCCAAACAACGTAGACCAGAGTTAAGACTAAAGAACATGTTTAGGTTCTAAATTTATAGGAAAAAACAAAAAAAAAATAAAAAAAAAAACAGAAAATCACCTATGATGGGGAGACAAAAGAAACCTTGCCGATCTTGTCTCTAAAGCCACGAGCCACCACTGAATTCTTTTCCATTTTGTATTGGTTTATGATGAAATCTCTTGTTAATTGTAAAGATACCGTAGCTTTCTCTCAAAGAATTCTACAGGCTTCTCTTTTTTTATCTGCATATTTGCTATTTAAATTCCGAAGTAGTTTCAAGAGTTTCATACTTTATTTTAACAAAACTTCTCGACAAATAACGCACTCTAGCTTATCTTAAATATCCGTCAAGCCATATTTAAGGTACTTACTGTACAATTTTACTTTTATTATTTTCATTTCCATATGTAGACGGAACGTAAGATTTGATATAACGTTTAATATTGAATCACGTAAGAAAGCAATTTGATTAACTCAGTCTGAGAAGTTACAATTTATTGGAGCGAGATGTATTGATTCGTGTTATTAGGAACCTCTCCACTACGCTCCGATGCTTCAGGTCATCCAAGGTTTTCCTGAAAATAAACAACAATTATTAAAATTTTCAGTGCTACATGCTGGGGCTTCTTCTGTTGGAAGAACTTTTTAGCTTATATAAAGTCTTTACAATTTCAGAAAAATCTACACTTCATCTAATTTATATAACGATGCACGTCATCGGTGTCATAGCCTGTGACGTCACATGATACCAACAAAATATTTAGGGTGTAGGTGTGTTCTTTTTTAGAATCACTTTACCGAGTACACTGACATTACAGCCACTAGACATATTTTATTATATACGCGTAGAAATCATATTTTAAAATTTCTATTAATGTTAACTTGAAGAAATACACAATAATATGTTTCATTTAATTTGTATAAATGCATTATAAAGCGTTTTTATCAAGAACATTTGTTCGGAACACACTGTAACTGTAATCGAACGAAGGTAAAATTTTGGCATAAATTGGTAACACTTATTTGACAGTTGCGGTGTTGACACTTTTTGTACTTCATTATTTTGAATTTTAAAGTGAATATCTCTTGTTTTATATTTTTAACTATCTAATAAAATCTGTTCTTTTTAGAACAAAATTAGTGTGTATTATTTCAAAAATGTCACGTAAGAATTTAAATAGTCGTTGTAAAGAGATGGTAATGCTTTTGCAATAATTATGTAATCTATTTGATTTAAAATGGAGTCAGGATTTTTTTATACTTTGGCAACTATGTCAACTTCGATCTCTGACGTAGATAATGACGTAAGTCGTTATCTAAATTAGATGAAGTATATGCAATAATGTAGCGCGTTCTCTTAAAAAGGGACAAAACGTGAGTTAAAAGAAATAGTGTAAATGGCTCATAGATGGCGCAAGTAAAAACATTTTTTTCTATTGAACAACTATACCAAACCTTAGACGGCGTATTAAATCTCCCCCTTGATATTCTATATAACAATTATGATAAGTCAACAATTTTTTTTTTCGTCAAAAGAGGGCTCCGATTTAAGAGAGTTAGTGAAACACAGCATTAGACGAAATGCTTACTTGTTTAAACAGAAATGAACGTATCAAAAAAACAGCAAATGGTAAATCCGACGCATTTACTTGGAACATATTTTCGCCAGTTAGGTCATTAACGACTGTTTGGGTATGAATGGGTTAATTATTACTCTGCTAATAGCCCTTAGAGATTGAGGAATAAATAAACAAAAAGCTGTATTGGAGATTCGTTTTCAGTTAATTCAAACAAATATTCAAATAAATAAAAATCAACACTTAATGTATCAATAAAAACATGTGCAAACATACAGGAGTGTTATACTTTAGATAATTAAAAAGCATTTACTGTAATTTCAATATTCTATTGATTCACATTCACTATCTAACATTCCTTTAAGAAACATGTTATTTAAAGTGTTACTACTATTTCAATTCTCTATTATCATAATATGTAATTTAGGTTTTGGATCTAAGATATTGCCTAAAAAAACAGAAATTTTTACACAACTCTCAGATTTTATGAAAAAATATTTAAACAAGTACTGTATAAGTGCGCTTGTTGATTTAAATGCTGTTGACAGTTTTTTTGATTACATCGAACCACCAAAACGAATAATTACAAATTTAACTAATGAAAATGAGTTAATACAATCATCTGGAGACTTCATTTTTGTTCAGAAAAGTATTGAATCTCTTCTAAATACACTGACAGCATTTAATAGATCACAAAACTGGCATAGTACATCTAAATTTGTAATTTTGATCAGAAATTTAACAGAATTTGGTATAAAAACTGTTTTTAAACAGTTATGGATGTTCAATATATATAACGCTGTGGTATCTACAGATTTTAAAGTATTTTTCACGTGGTTTCCTTATTCAAAAGAGAATAATTGTGGGAAAAACTATAATATAATTAAAGTAGAAACGATGGATCCATTTAGTGGAAAGATTCCAAAAAAACTAAATTTGTGTAACTTTAACATAACAATTGCCCCTACACCTGTGTACTTTGATGACTCCACAAAAACGGGCGTTTATGCTACTCTAACAACAACTATTCAGACACAGCTTAACTTAAAAATCAACATTATTAACGTCCATGATTACATTGAGCGTTTAACGAAATATGACAGCTACGATCTGTTTATCTATGATATGGTCACATATAATATAGATGCTGGATTTAATGGAGCTCTGTATTCAAGAAGAATTCCAAATTATGAGTGTGAATATACTAGAACTCTTAGCAGAGACTATGTGTACCTTATATCACCACCACGAAGAATAATTGAACCTAATATGATCTTTGTATTTCCATACAATGTATATCCCCCTCTTGGGGCTGTATTTATACTGTCGGTTGTAATATGGAAGATACTGTTAAAAATAAAACTAAAAGATGCTATTTTTTCAATGTACAGATTGTTTATTATGATGGAAACAGAAATGCGTAATGTAGCTAGTCTGAAATCAACGTTATTTTTGGCATTTCTATTGTGGTTTGTATACCACATATCTACTTTTCATCAAACCAAATTAAGCTCAGCATTAACCAGTCCACAATTGACACCAAAGATTAAAAATCTTAATCAGTTTCTGAAATCAAATTATATTCTAAAATGCGATCCCTATGTAATATACGCATTAAAACCCAGGGGCGAAGAAATATTTCGAGAAATTGAAAAACGGCATTTGGTGATAACTAACATGATGAATGAATTGGAACAGTTTCTAAAAGATCCAACATATGGATTTGCTGCTATAACCATCTATTTAAGATTAGTCAAAAATTTAGAATATGCCGAAGTCATGATTGATGATCCGGTAAGCATTTTTTTTATACGAATGTGTACGTTCAGTACCAAAGTTTACTTTCATTATTTCATTGTAAATTGTTCAATTAATAATTTAATTTTTTTTTATAATTTTTAGTTGGCTATTACAGGTGCCAATTTAGTCCTCAAGAAAAATCATCCTCTTTATACAAGAATAGATCGATTAATTCAAAATATACTTGAGGCTGGTTTGATGGATAAATGGATCAACGATTTTTCAGTGGATAATACGAAACTGGAGTACAAATTCTATCAGTCGATAAACCGCAAGCTATCACTAGCAAATCTTCAAAGCTGCTTTTTCTTTTTAATTGCCGGTTTGGCTTTATCTTTTTGTGTATTTATAGGAGAATTATTTGCACGACATGCATCACTTGAAAACATTTTCAAAAAAGTATTTTCATTTTATATTTAATCATAATTAAACTAAAATATATATAAAGGTGGTTAAAACAATCTTCAGTCACTGATATTTTCACTGACATTGGACATTTGTTTTTATGTATTTGCCGGTTAATTTTGTTCGTGTATTGTTTTATAGGTATTTATTTGATATTTTGTATTATGTTTTAAGAATATGTTTCTTTTATAGAATAAAATCCCTTAAAGAAAATAATTTAGAAATTAAATTACAAAAACTAGAATATTTCCCTATATACTTCTACTCTCAATGGTGCTTTGGAAATTCAAGTCTAACTTTCTCTGTCACCCTGTTTAATCGATGCACTAAGCATGTACAATGCATCAAATTCGGAATAAAAATCTTAAGACTAGTAACAGCTTTAACCATGTAGGAAGCGGCATCGCTAACTAATAGCAGAATTTTTTCAGAAGGTACTTGATTCGGTAAAAAGAAATTTGTCAAAGATTATTAACAAATCGAGCAATTGTTGCATACTTGGTTTTTTCTAAACATTTTACGCTGATTAAATACAACTTGTTGGAATCATCAGCTGAACTGTTTAAAACTCCAATAATTAAATTCGCGATTTGCCGACCCTTGGCGTCAGTAGCCTCGTCGACAGATATCCACAGATATTCATCTCTTACCCGGCTTTTAATACCTTCAATAACGTCTTGGTAAGATGCCCTTACATATTTCTTGCGAAGAGTTGAAGAACCTATCCTGTACGGACTTATTTTCAACTTTACAGTACGTTTTCAAAAAATTTTGACACACCCTGCTATCCAATTTAGACAGTGCGATATTGCAACTTACAAAAAAATTGCATACATCTTTTGCAAACGTTTGTTGCAACCGCCGATGTGTGACGATTTTGAATAATGTTGTTCTGCAGAAGCTGCTGGCGTGGTTTCTTAAAGTGCGTAGATAGGTTATATTGTGTAGAGTAGTTTTCAGGTGTTGGGAAATTTGGAATTTTTTTCACATAGAATCTGTAATAAAACGCCTTACTAAATAAGAGTCTAATGCAATCATATGGACTTCAAATTTTTAGGTAACTTCTATTTTATTCTCGAAACTAAAACTACCGCCAATAGTCAAACTGTTACATATTTAGTATGGGAATAGTATGTTTATACCAATTTTCTTAAAAAAATGAGATTTTTAATTAAATTTTGAAAAATATTTGTTAAAATTTAAGTGGACTCGCCCCTTTTATCACAAATAGTACAGAAAACACTTTCATTGTCTATAATCTTCATTTCAATGTTGCCACCAATCCAACTCCGCAATAGACTTGATTTTTGTTTCGCTACTTTCGGCATATATTCAAAAAAGAAATTATCTTCATCCGACTTTTCTGCTATGGGACTATATACTTGAATTATCTTGATTTTAGATTGGGCTATTTTTAGTGTTACCATCATAACTCTATTCGAGATGGGTAAGAAGCCAGTTACAAATTTCTGGGTAGTTTTGTCAACTAATATCGCTACTTCTTTCCAGTGATTTGAGTCATTGTCATTACCAGAGTAGTATTTTTGGTAACAATAAAACACTGAAAACTTTGTGTTCAAACTTCCACAAAATTTATTTTAACCTCTTATCACTACAGTTGTTTCGGCTGATTGCCTTTCTCAAGTGATTTATTTTTGGCATGCTTTTACACTTTATACTCTCTAATAAAATAGGTTGAGGAGGAGAGAACTGTTTGTCTCAAGTTGGTCATTCAGAATTATATCTGTGTTTTTAATGTGTTGATTTCCATAGATTCTAACAAGAATAGCTTAAGGCCTTTATTTTAAATGTGAAGAATTTTAAATTCGTCATTAAAAGAATGATTGTGATCTAGAATGTGAAGTGCGTATGTAGAACCTGTTTTTCTATTATTGAAAGCCCTTTTATGTTCCGCTATTCGTTTATTAAAGTTTCTACCAGTTTGACCGATGTAAGTTTTTGGGCAGTCGCCACATTTTGGTTTGTACACATCACTGTGTAAGTGTTTTTTATTTTGGCTCATGTTGTTTTTTATTTATTTGCCTAGGTTGGTATTTGTCTTTTTTTTTTTTATGTGTTTGGCTATTTTTGTTGATATTTTGCCTGTATATGTAATCGAGCAGAAGGTACTGGGTTTTTTTTTCTGTGTGGTTGGAAATACGAATTTTTGTTTGTTCGTTGTATCCGTTGTTTACTGCTATTTGCTAATGATATTTAGTAGTATTTTTGGTTTGGCCTACTGATGTCACCTGAATTTGGTCATCTGGTCTCACTTAGTCCTAATATTTTGATGTCAAGTCTTTCCATTTCCTGAATGACATTATGGACTTTACCTGCTTGGTATATTGACTTAACATTCCACGTGCCTATCTTCATACACTTTCTGTCGATTTTAGTCTTCTTTTTGGGCAATGTGTTACTAATGGGTATTTCACAGGGATTTCGTTTGATGTCGACCTGAGAGGCCCTGTAGTCTATGTGTGATTTGCCTCCCCTGCCGGATCTTTTGTACAGCCATGACAATTGCACTAGGTATATCTGTGTAGAATTTTTAATGTAGTGGTTTTCCCTTGCCTTCTACATTCTTATGCCGTTGACGTTTTTCTTCATCCGCCTTCGAGGCCGATTTCCCAACCACAGGACAAAAGAGTGCCCTACCACTTACTAACTCACCCGCCCGAAGCCTTTGATGAAATTCTCGCCATATACTTACCCTAAACCCTCACTTAGTTTAGCCTGCCGACCAATGCAGTTGCCCGGGTTGCACGTGGAGCCATAAGTTAGAGTTGGTTGAATGAAATCGTAGGCTTCCACGGCCAGAGTCAGGATTATAGTTTATTCATCTTCCGGGTTTGGACCGTGTCATTTGTGAGTGACCCAAAAGTGGGTTCATCTTAGACGTTTCGCTACAATTGTATGTAGCTTCTTCAGGAGAACAAAGAAAATGAAAACAAAAGACAGGAAGATGGGTAGTTAGCAACGGTAACTCAGTTACTCAACGCAACCAGAGGCGAATACTAACTACCAAGATGGGCATTTGGTCACAGTAACTCAACTACGCAACGCAGCCAGAGGTGAAAACCAAATGCCAGGACAGGGATTCACGTCCAACAGCTCAGAACACTAACGCGTCGAGAGGCGGGAGTGAATCCGACGATTACTCCGCTACCGCTCTATTTATAGTCGCGGTGACCTGTCGTGTCGGGACGTATCGGCACACTCCGTGGCGCGAACGTCAAGAAGCGCGCGCTGGCCAATCATGTGGCTGCATCGTGGTAGCGGGACCGGACGGCGGCTCTAGACTGAGATTCCAGATGGGAGACAAGTAGTATCCTTCCTCTCGATTGTTATTATGTGGATTTTTTCGAATCTCTAGAGATTCGCGGATTTTCCTGGAATAAAAGAAGAAATAATATGGGTTTTTTCGAACAATATGGAATGACCTGTTTCTTGGCAGTGTTCTGCAACTGCAGAATGGGAGAAAAGACCTAATAGAATGCATCTTTGATGCTCTTGAATCCGAGTTTTGATGGAACGACCAGTTTCGCCAATATACACATGCCCACATGAACAAGGAATAGAATAGACACCACAGGAAGATAGGGGCGGTAATGGGTCCTTAGGAGAGGGTAAATATTGTGAGATTTTCTTGGGTGGTCGAAAAGTAGTCCTGATACCTTCTTTGCGAAAAATTTTGCCAATCCTATCAGTGACATTTCGAATATACGGAAGAAAAACCACAGGAGTATTACCCGAAGATTCTGAATTTGTCGTCCTAGGGTGTAAAGGGGGATGTAGATGTCGGTGTGTAATATTTTGAATTGTGGACTTGGAGTAACCGTTGGCGACAAGGGTTTTTTGCAGATGGCCAAGTTCTTCTCTAAGGTTGTCGGGTTCAGAAATCGAAATGGCCCGATGGATTAGAGAGTTGATCACAGAATTCTTTTGGGCAGGATGGTGATGTAATGAAGCATGTGGGTAACGATTCGTGTGAGTCTTTTTTCTATAAACAGAGTGACCCAATCGGCCATTGGGCTTGGTGGTGACTAACACATGGAGAAAGAGAAGGGACCGATTATTTTCTACTTCCATTGTGAATTTTATACTCGGATGTTGTGAGTTAAGATGATCTAGGAAGGGAGAAAGGGTATGTTGACCATGGGGCCAGATGATAAACGTATCATCAACGTAGCGGAACCAGACTTTTGGTTTTAAGGGGTAAGATTCTAGGGCTAAAGACTCAAAGGCTTCCATGAAAATGTCAGCAATGACAGGGGAAAGGGGAGAACCCATTGGTGTTCCAGATATTTGTTTGTAGAAATTGCCTCTAAAAGAAAAATATGTTGAAAGGAGGCATTTTTGAGATGAACCCACTTTTGGGTCACTCACAAATGACACGGTCCAAACCCGGAAGACGAATAAACTATAAGAGAGTTGGTTGTCTTATTAGGATCAGTTATCAAGAACCATCTCCAGTTTATGACGCTTGATGTGCTTGATGTTCCGATAAAAGGTGCTACCTCTATAACACAACTCTACACCCAGGGGAAAGTATATCAGAGCATAAATCGCTTAATGCTAGATTAAAAACAGTTGGGCTTAATACTAACTCTTGTGGTTCTCCATCGGTTTAAGTGTGGACTGATGAAAAAATACCATTGACAGACTGTAAATGATCGCGGTGATGATAACTTTTATATAACTTAAATATATTACCCTTAATATTATATAGGGTTAGTTTGTTCAGAACTCCACCTGGGTTGTCTGATGGGTGGATTGAGTAGCTCATCGGATGACACTGCTGGTCCCAAGCCCGGATAAAGGAGGAGGGTCCCCATGG